GGGCGCGCGGGAGAGCCCCGCCCCGCCAAGCCGAGTGGCCAATCGGTGCCTTGCAGCGCCCGCACCCGCCAGGTGGCGCCCCGCGCGCTCCCGCCCTGACAGCCAATGAGCATCCACTCTCCCGCGAGGTTACACCCCGGCGGCCAATGAGGGCTCACTCTCACATGAGGTTACACCCTGACGGCCAATGAGCAGCCAGTTGCCCATGAGGTCACAGACTGCCGCAGGATGTCACACACTGCTAGCCAATGAGCATCCCCCTCCCCTATGAAGTCATGTGCTGCTCCAGGATGTCACACCCCGCCAGGCAATAGGCTCACCATGCCCTGGGGAGGTCATAGTCTGCCAGCCAATGAGCACCCTCCTCCCCCACGAGGTCATGGGCTGCCCCAGGATGCCACACCCTACCCACCAATGAGTGCCCCACAGCGTTGTGAGGCCATGGACTGCCTTGGGATGTCATATCCTGCCAGCCACCGGTTGTCCTGCTCCCTGTAAGGTCACAGGCAGCCCTGAGATGTCACACACTACTGGCCAATGAGCACTTCGCTACCTTATGAGGTCACAGCTTGTCCTAGCACTCACAGCCAGGCAACAAGCATGCAGCTCCCAGTGAGATCACAGGCTCCCCAGTGAGGTCACACAGCACCTAGTAGGGCAGCACACTGCCTCAGAGGTGAGGTCACAGCCTCGCTGATGAGGTGTTAGAGCCCTCAGCCAACAAGCACCCAGTCCCCCACAAGGTCACACAGCACTCAGCTAGTGACCATTGTTGCTGTTCCATGATGTAACAGGGGCCAACCAATGAGCTCACATGCTCTCCCTAACATCTGGGGTTAGCCAGCGAGCACACAGCTTCCCCAGGGAGGTCACAGGGGCCTGCCCAACCAGCAGCCCCGCTAGGTCACACAGCACTCAGCCAACAGGCGTGCCCTCTCTGCGTGAGGTCACAGGCTGCCTGATGAGGTCACCAAGCACAGGCACCTTTGGGAGAGCTCCCAGCCCAGCCAGGGGCTCCCACCAGGCACCAGGATGGCGCAATTACACCTCACCCAGATCTTGCCTGTAGTTAATGAGAAGTGACAATAATTGAAGCTGCTGGTAACTGTGGAGCAGGGCTCCTGTGGGAGGCAAGTGGGGAAAGGGGGCACCCCTGTGGGTGCCCCAGGGTGGGGGGGAAGGGGCTGCAAGCCCAGAGGCCACCCCGAGGGGCTCAGCACCCCCTGCCTGCCCCAGCAGCCCCTGCCCCGCTGCCAGGATCAGGCCTAGTGGGAGGGAAGCAGAGCAGGGACCCCCCCTCCCCATGCGACCCTGCTCCTGACACTTAACGCCAGCTCAAGCCACGGCTGCTTTTTATGGGCTGTGAGTCAACACGCATGCTGCGCTGCCTCCTAAAATAAATGTGAAACTGGGTCCAATTGCACAGAAATAGCAACCGGCTCCTGTTAGGAACGGCACCTCTGCCCCAGCCCTGCCAGCTTTCATGCCCCACGCATGCCTCCAGCTCGGGGAGCAGCCACGTTGGCAGCTGGGGCATGCTGCTGTCCTGTGCAGGGCCAGGCAGCAGGTGCAAAGTGCGGAATGTGAGGAGGAAGGTGGCTTTGGAGGAGCTGAAATCATCACTGAGCAAGAGTGGAAAGGCTCCAAAAAGTGCAATAAAACAGCAAATCTGCATCAGAAGCGACTACCAAAAGCAGCACACCCCAAGGAAGCTGGAGAGGGCAGGAATGGATGAAAGGGGATCAGGATGGACACCATGGCCAGAACAGAAGAAAAAAAAAAAAAAAGTTTTTTTGTTTGGTTGTTTTTTCTCCCAAACACAGGAGACTCAAAGCATCCACCTTAAACCCCCACAGGTGTGTGAGCAGCCGCCAGCAACTGCCCAGCCAAGGCACATGCAAGCCCTGGGCTTAAACCTTTGCCTCGGTGCCGAACCCCAGCAAAGCCAAGCAGGCAATGGCAGCCATCATGGGAGACAGAGGAAAATGCCACTGGGGCACGCAGTGGGCAGAGCCACCAGCAAGTGACACCAAAACAAAAGTCCTTTGCTCACCACAGTCCGAGCAGGAGAACTTTTTGGCCCAGGATATTTTCAAGTAGAAATCAAAGTGAAGTGGGGGGCGAGGGACCCAGCAGAAGTCACACCAAGGATGCCAGCTCACACAGGTGCTGCTGCCCCTGTGGGAGGGGGGCCCAGCTTTGCAGGCAAGGTTGTAGCCCCAGGCCTGCCTGCAGGGTGGCCCTGGGGCTGGAGCCCATCAGGGGACAGGGCTGGCTTGCTCAGAGGCAAATCATTTAGTCCCCAGACTAGGGCTGGAGCAGGATAGCCCCAAAAGCCCTTCGAGCCCTCTGCTGCAGGCTGGGACCAGCTCTGCCTTCATGGGCAGACACAGCACCAGCTCTCCAGCACCCCAATATGGGAGCCCACATCTCTCTCCAGCCACATACCTAGACCTCCGCTGCCATAAAAGGGGCTCCCTGGACTCACCTCAGGCCAGAGATCTGGAACAAGTCAGGCACTTTTTTCCTTCCCCCCCCCCCCACCCCTTTTTGCGCCACTCACAGGGCACCTACCTCAAAGGGACAAGGGCACCATGCAAGAGAGTCCATAAAAGGCTCACTGCAGACCCTCTCCCAGGCTTCTCTTCTCCAGAATTAACTCTTGCTTGATTAAGTCCCTCCTCCCTTCCCCCCCAAGCTTGTTTCCCAGCCCCACAAAACCCCTTCTTGTGCTCCTCCAGACTCTTCCCCCACTCCATGCCCTTCAGCAGTCAGCCCCAAGTGATGCAGCCAAGACTCAGCTCATGCTCCGCGGGCATTTTGCCTTGATCACTGGCCCAGGGGTCAGCACTGCTTTCATCACTGCTTCACCCAACCACAGCCCTTCCCTGCAGCAGGGTCCCATCTCCCAAGAGTGGGCACCAATGGTTTCAGAAGGGCCAGGCGCATCCATCACACCTCAGCGCCTGAGCTCAGCCCTCCAACCCAGAGCTGCAACAGGGAGGAAACCACTCAGAAGCCGGTTAAGAAGTGTGCACAGCAGTGTATTTTATTCCCTAAAGACATGGTTTTGGCCAGTCCAGGTGCTGAGGCTTCCAGCCTGAAGTAGCTGGAAGTAGGAAAGATCAGAGATTTGTACAGCAAGGTACCTCACCAAGTCTGTTCCTTGTAGCTTGAAGTGCTTCAGCTGTGGGGCAAGAGGGGATCTCCTGCCCCAAGCCTCCAGGCTGAAGAACCCCAGACAGGCTCAGCCCCATCAGACTCCCCCTCCCCTGAAGGGAGCCATTCTTCACCACTTCTTCAGGCCATTCCAAACCCTCAAATCACTAGGCAGACCAGTTACAAAAGAACACACCCCCTACAATGTCATTAAAAAAACAGAACTTAAACTAATTTCACACCAACACATGCCGAGAACAGAGGTCACATCAGTGCACCCATCTCCCCATTTCCAATCAGGGCAGGGGATCACCCCCGACACCCTCCTCCCCAAGTCAGCGATTTCAGTGCTACGAAATCGCAGTGGGCTTGATGGCCAGGGCAAGGCAGAACATCTCCCAGGCTTTGCCTGCAGGGCTCCCCAACCCGCACAGGCCCCACAACAGCACCAAGCTGATCAGTTTGATGACAAACACACAGCCACCCTGCAACAACATGGGTCAGGGCTGCTCTTCCTCCAGGAAACTTTCTTTGAACTATTTACACCAGGCATAGAGCTGATCCTGGTCCCTTCTCCCTGCTCTCGCTCCATACTGACATCCCAGACACACTTCCCGTGTCTCTGGCTTGTGGCTGTATCCAAGAGTGGTTCCACCTTTATGTCAGAGCACCCAACAGCAGCATCAACTGCAGAGCTCCAAGCAGGCCAGAAGATGAGAAAACCCTGTTTACTCTGCATTAAATTAGGAGGAAGGAGGGGTAAAATGGGTGTGGGTGTGTGTATGTGTAAATCAGTCCAAGCATTAGCCAGAGGCTTGGTCTCCTGTCGGCTCACTGCAAGGCCAGGATTCTCCCCAGGGCAGCTGGTCTCAACCACAACGCAGCATGGGTACTTTGCAAACAGTAGTCCCCTGCACAGCAGTGGTTGCACATTGCTTTGTGCCAGGCTCCGGGCAAGCACGCCCTGCCCAGCTGCTCCCCGGGAAGGCAGGGGCTCTCACTGCAGGAAACTGTCCAGCCTGGCTTGGCTGCTGCTGGAGGAACCCATGGAGGGAGCTGCAGATGCTGGCCTGGTGACATTCTTTTTCTTGCTCCTCACTGCTAAGGGATGGATCTCTGCCAGGTTTGTCTGGAGGTAAAACTGTCAAGGAAAGTACAGACCAATGCTCCAGGGACACAAGTGATCCAACACTTGCTGCAGACTAGCCCGAACCACAGACCTGGCACCAAGCCATACATTTGCACCCAAAGAAAAACTCCCTGCAGGACAGGCTGGGCTTTGCTCCCCTGCTGACAGCAGCAGAGGTCAGGCATGCTCCCATCCCACCAGTCCAGGAACGCTTCCCACTTCTCTTCTATCCCCTTGCGCACAAAACAGAGGCACAGAAGCAGCAGGAACTGAACATCACTGAACTGTAAATGGTCTTGACCAGCCGCTCACTGTGGCACCAGAAGGCAGGTGCAGGCCACGCTGGCAGAGCTGCAGGGTTACACAAACCCACACGCCTGCAGCACCCAGGCTTAAGAGGAATGAGCTATTCCTCCATCAGCCACGTGCTAGGGGCAGCACCGGGATGGCTGCCCACCTTCCCCTGTCACCTCAGGCTGGCAGCATGGGTACATCTGGCCCCAGAGATCCAGCTCCGGCATCTCCCTGCCATTGGATACCTCCACCCCTTCACAGTGAGGCCACAGGAGCAGTAGCCCAAGGCTGCCCAGGAGGTCACAACTTCCAGCTCATCGCCGCTTCTCTGCTTCAGCCTCATGGTTTTCTACAAAGAGCAAAACCCCCCCCTCAAAACCAGCACCAGGATCGAGAGTGGCGTCAGAGCTGTAGGTGCACCACACGTCCCTCCGACAGCACTGCCCGGGGAAGGCAGGGAAGAGGACGCTGCTCCTGCATGAGGAGCAGGAGCCAGAGCAGCTCCATGCCCACTGGGTGAGCTCAGCCCAGCCACTCCTCACCTGCTGCAGGACTGCCCACCAGGACAGGCATGGCCGAGCAGCAGCGTCCCACAGGAACGAAGGCCTTTGCTGCATGGGCCAGCAGTCATGTGGCCAGGAAGAGGCTGCACCACACTGCTGCTCAGAGATCCCAAGCGTACAGGCAGTCCCTGCAGGTTGCACTCATTTCCAGTCGCTATGCTTCTCTGAATGAGCCACCACCGATAACGTTCTCTGCAAGTTCAGGTCCTTGATGTCTTTGCTGAGCTCAAACTTATTCAGAGTCAGATAGAGAGAAATCTGATGGGTCCTTGAGGGTCGCAGCCCATTTTTTTGTTGACAAGAGTGGGCAGGACTCCCCAAGATGGCTGAAACACAGAGGAGGTTCCCCACAAGCATTGCTACCACCATGTGAGCTGCAGGAAAGGATACAGGCTGTATGAACTTTGTTCTGCCTCCCAAGCCATCGTATCCCATCCTCACCTAGGAGAAAGAAAGAAATGAGCCTGGAGCACCAGCACGGAGCCTTGGCTACCTTTCCTCATGTTGCTTACAGGGAAGGGGAGCCTTGCAGGCTGCAGGTTCTGGGGAGGGTTTACATGCATCTGGAAACACTCAGTACTTGTGCTAATCCCTCACCCTTTGGAAAAGACAGACCCAAAGGTATCAGTAAAGTTTGGATATCTTGGGCATTTTCTGTAGCAAGCTGAGCCTTCCAAGCAGCAGCAAGGCTTAGGATTTTGTCACTGGGACTGAGGAATACAAGGAAAACACCCCAAGCTCCAAGGAGGTGGAGGAACAGGACACAGAGGGCCATTTAGTCTGCTGCCAGGAAGGGAATGAGCATCTGTCATCCCTGGAGCTCTGCAGGACTGGGAAGTAGCCAGGTCATGCTCCAAGATTTATTTTCTACACACTGTATGTGGCAAAGTAGAAGCCTGATTTGCTTCCTCCTGTAGGGTCACTTCAGGACAGAGGTGTGTAGTGCCAGCCCTCAACAAGCTCACCAACTGGACAGTCATACTCACAGTGCCCATGTTCTTGTGGGAACCCAACAAGCTACCCGAAGATGGCTTCTTGGAGAGAACAGAGTTCCTGATGAATGCTGGCAGGAGTCCTTTAAGAGCATCATCCTCCAGATCATCTGTGCAGTTCTGTCCAACAAAATAATGAGAAAAGCCCTTTAACCAGCACGATCTGCTGAATTTAGTCCACATACAGGGAGCACTAATAACGTAGGCAGCTACTTAGCGTAATAGTTACTGCTGTACCACATGTTGGGCCAAAGAACAGCAGTTTCAAGCCTCCCACCGGGGCTCATGTTGAGCAGCACCTGGGAGGCAGGACGCTGCACCCAGCAAGCCTGGGAGAACAGCCCCCTTAGCTGACCCCACAGCCCTTGTGGCCAGCCCCACGTTGTGTTTGCCAAGCACATCTGAGGCAGGATAATCGGCAAGAAGCTCGTGGGTCCCCATCCTCCCTCTTCTGCCCAATTCCAGCAGGCCTGAGGCAGTAATGCAGTGTTTCTAGGAGACTGTCAAGCAAAGCACTTTGAAGCACGTACTGTGGTTCTATAGATGGACCATTCTACAGTGACAGCATCTCCTACGTGGAGAAAATAGGTCCTTTATCAAAAAGGCGATACAGAAAAATCAAGATTAATCTTTTACCTCCACCGTCTCCTTCAGAACTTTCTTCGCCAGATTTACCACAGGAGGCCTGTAAGAAGCCCAAGGAGCAAATCAGCAGAGATTTATTGTTCAAGTGGAGCTGGCAAGGACAGAGAAGGCCAGGCGAATGATGACGAAACTTGCAGCATGATATCAGGCAGCTGGAGAGCTATCTGATTGCACACAGCAACTTCCAAAGAAGCAAGACTTTGATCTCCTTTAGAAGAGAAAGAAGATGGAAAACTCACAGCTTTTTATCCAGCTTCTGCCTTTTTGCAGGGCTGAAGAGAGGTCTGCAGGGCTGATGTTCAGGGGTGTCCACATCAAAAGTAGCATCTAGATTGATCTCATCGCTGTGGGCTGGGCAGTGGAGCTTCGGGTGCCGCAGTTCAACAGGAGTGGGGCTGCAAGACCATGAAAAATATCAGCCCCAGGAGGCCACCGCCTGCTACCCAGCAGATGAGAGGAAGACAGAGCTGCATGCTACACCACTGAGTTGCAAGACAGCAGTGGGATCAGGATCAGAGCCCCATTCTGCTTACAAGTCACAGAAAGGACAATTCAAATCCCAGGGTTTATAGTCAATGTCCCAAACTATTGTTCACCCAAAAATGGCCAGTGCTGTAACAGTAGCACCCTGAGCCCAGGGAAACTCACTGGCACACTGCTGCTCTGTGTACACAATCCAGCTTGCTGTACTGCGGTACAGCAAGGACCACAAGCTCCTCAAAAGAAAGGGCTTGATAAAAACATAAAAGATGCCATTTTTCAGGCTAGCTTCCTCTGCCTGACAAAGCTCAGTCCCCATACACCAGGGCACGCTCATTGGAAGGCCAGCTCTGAGGCAACCAGGAGAGCAGCTTCAGGGGCAGGGCATAGTGGCAGAGTTTTTCAAAACACAGCCCAATCTCCCATGCCTTCCTGACCCAAACCCTCCACAACACACACACTTTTTCCAGGTAAACCAAACACCACCTTGTCAGCAAGAAGAAAGAAAAAGACAGAATAGGATACAAGGAGCAAAACGACTGCGCTACTGCAATGCCTGCCAGACTAGCCTGTTACTGCCTCCCCAGCTAGTTAAACTGTCAGCTCTTACTTCGGACCTCCCATCTCCATCCTTGGCCCGTATGTGAGGATGCACTTCACTAACCTTTCAAAGACCAGTCGACTGAGTGTCTCCCTGGTTACTGATGGGACTTTCAGAGTATCCTGCAGGATGTCTATCTTCTTCTTCAAACTCTGGAGGGAAAAGGGAAAGCAGACAGCAAGATAAGGGAAGATTTAGTAGCAGATACTTTGCCCCTTTTTCCATAAATCAGCATCAGGTGGAGCTCAGAGGTGGGGCAGGTAAGAGAGGTGAGGTGGGCTGGGTAACCAAGCCACTGAGCACGAGCCAGCATACCCCCGGGCTTTGCAGGGGCAGGCCATGGCCAGCTGCCAGTTACTGCAGCCCCAGGAGCAATATTCTCACCAAGATCTCCTTGTCTGCATTCTTCAGATCCTTCTGGGTGCTTTTTAACTCCTCCTTTGTCTTCTCCAACTCTGAAACTGTTTTCTGCAGCTGCAGAACACACACCCGCAAACAGCAGAGCGCTGGTTACAACATGTAGGTAAGGGAGACTGCAGATCCCACCCCCGAGAGCAGTATGCTCTGCAGCACATGCTACTTTCCCATTTCAGGGCTCAGTTTTCCTATGGCAGTCTGACCAATCTCTCCTGTATCAGAGCAATCCAATGCCTGCCCATTTCCTCAAGCTGCCTGCAGAGGGATCTCCAGGGCTGCTTGCCCAACACAAACCTTCCTATAGCATTTCCTGAGCATTTATGCATGATGATGACAGCTTTTCCCTGCTCTAACACTTGGTGGCTGCATTCTGAATTCTTGCAGGACTTTGGACACACCAGAGCTCTGGAATTACAAACCACGGGCTGGAGGATGGTTGCATATCAGAGGTACCGGCACACAGACAAGCCTGATTCAACAGGGAAGAATGCCAGGAGCAGGGGTCGAGAAGTGGACTGTTACCACATCAGAGACTTTTGTGGGTTCTGGAGTCTGGGCCAGCCCACAAAGTGTCGGCACAGTCAGCTAAGCCTGGAGCACCGAGTGCACTGACTCGCATCCTCCTGACCCAAGCCAGTGATCGCAGCTGGGCACTGACTCAGCCAGCAAGCAGGCTGATTCCAGTAGCAGCACCTCATCTAGGGGGTTAACTCACTTGGGGAGCAGCACAGCAATCCGAGAACCTCCTCCTCCATTTGAAAGGACCACAACAGCTACAGCCAGGCAACAAAAATAGGCCAAATCCACACCCACAGTCTCCCACTTTGTGAGCTTGGATTTGGGCATGCCCCAGGGAACACCTGCGCCTCGGAGAGAAAGGCTACATGCACACACTTTTCATGGGGATTTGCTACCAAAAACTGATAGAAAGCAATTCCTGCCCTGAACTAACAGACCCCAGCCAGGCCTACAGCAGGGGGAACAGGGCAAGAGAAGCATGTCAGCAGCTCCAAGCTCAGCACCAGGTCAGGACCAACCCAGGCAAACTCTGTGCAGAGCCACCTGCATGTCCTCCCCACCCCTCAGGGACCTCTCCTGCCTGGGCTCAACATCACATAGGAGCCCTGGCCCAGTTCAGTGGGCTGGAGGCACAAGGCTGGGTGTGACTGCAGTTGTGCCAGGCCAGGGCTAAGCCCTGCTCAACTGTGCTGGCTCCAAAGCCCTTCCCATTTTTCCTAGAGGCCTGATTCTGGGGCAGGAGTGACTGGCAGCTGAGCTAGCTCATGCTTGGCAGCATGGCAGGATGAAGGCAGTGCTGCTTCCAGAGCCCAGTGGAAGCAGTGGAGCACCTGCATGCTTGCTGCCACCTTCCCCACCCAAGCTCCCTGCCAAACTCTGGCTCCACACATGCTGCCCCACCAGTGTCCTCAGAGACTGCACTCCCGACAAAAGCCGTGAGCTGCTTGCTCACCATAGCCTGACCCAGAAACCCCAGCCTGACACTGCCACACCACCTATACCATTCAAGTAGTGCTCGGTGTGAGAGGGTGTCACTGCAGAGGGCTTGGGCGACAGTTATTGACAGGGGGTCTACAGACCAGATGTCACCCCAGTGGCTCACACTCTCCCTTTACCTTGTTATTGACAGAAAACAGCTCCTTCTTCAGCTTCTCTGTCATCTCACTAGAGATCTTCCAAGCCTCCTTCAAGTTTTCATATTCCCTGCAAAAAGACCAGAAGAATCATGCTGTTTACAATAGGATTGAGCTAAAACTTCTCAGAGGCAACCCAAGACCCTTAATTTGAAGTTCTGCAACTGCAAAGCAACCAGAGGAAACCCAAAAACGCAGGAGACAGAAAGAATCCCAGAATCCATCCCAGAATCCATCCCAGAATCCATCCCAGAATCCATCCCAGAATCCATCCCAGAATCCATCCCAGAATCCATCCCAGAATCCATCCCAGAAAGCATCCCAGAATCCATCCCAGAATCCATCCCAGAATCCATCCCAGAATCCATCCCAGAATCCATCCCAGAATCCATCCCAGAATCCATCCCAGAATCCATCCCAGAATCCATCCCAGAATCCATCCCAGAATCCATCCCAGAATCCATCCCAGAATCCATCCCAGAATCCATCCCAGAATCCATCCCAGAATCCATCCCAGAATCCATCCCAGAATCCATCCCAGAATCCATCCCAGAATCCATCCCAGAATCCATCCCAGAATCCATCCCAGAATCCATCCCAGAATCCATCCCAGAATCCATCCCAGAATCCATCCCAGAATCCATCCCAGAATCCATCCCAGAATCCATCCCAGAATCCATCCCAGAATCCATCCCAGAATCCATCCCAGAATCCATCCCAGAATCCATCCCAGAATCCATCCCAGAATCCATCCCAGAATCCATCCCAGAATCCATCCCAGAATCCATCCCAGAATCCATCCCAGAATCCATCCCAGAATCCATCCCAGAATCCATCCCAGAATCCATCCCAGAATCCATCCCAGAATCCATCCCAGAATCCATCCCAGAATCCATCCCAGAATCCATCCCAGAATCCATCCCAGAATCCATCCCAGAATCCATCCCAGAATCCATCCCAGAATCCATCCCAGAATCCATCCCAGAATCCATCCCAGAATCCATCCCAGAATCCATCCCAGAATCCATCCCAGAATCCATCCCAGAATCCATCCCAGAATCCATCCCAGAATCCATCCCAGAATCCATCCCAGAATCCATCCCAGAATCCATCCCAGAATCCATCCCAGAATCCATCCCAGAATCCATCCCAGAATCCATCCCAGAATCCATCCCAGAATCCATCCCAGAATCCATCCCAGAATCCATCCCAGAATCCATCCCAGAATCCATCCCAGAATCCATCCCAGAATCCATCCCAGAATCCATCCCAGAATCCATCCCAGAATCCATCCCAGAATCCATCCCAGAATCCATCCCAGAATCCATCCCAGAATCCATCCCAGAATCCATCCCAGAATCCATCCCAGAATCCATCCCAGAATCCATCCCAGAATCCATCCCAGAATCCATCCCAGAATCCATCCGCGTCTTAGCATAGCTTCTAGGAGGATCTGTTCCATGATCTTCCCAGGCACAGAGGTGAGGCTGACAGGTCGTTAGTTCCCAAGGTCTTCCTTTCTACCCTTTTTGAAAATGGGCACATTGTTTCCCTTCTTCCAGTCACCAGGGACTTCACCTGACTGCCATGACTTTTCAAATATCATGGAGAGGGGCTTGGCGACTACATCGGCCAATTCCCTCAGGACTCTGGGACGCATCTCATCAGGTCCCATGGACTTATGTGAGTTCAGGTTCCTCAGGCAGTCACGAACCTCATCTTCTCTTACAGCGGGAGGGGTTTTACCCTGCTGGTCCCCCTCATGCCATCCATCAACTCAGGAGGAGTGAGGAGAGAGGTTGCCAGTGAAGACTGAGGCAAAAAAGTTGTTGAGTAAAAAAAAATAGCAAAGCCCTGTAGGGGACAGAGCTGAGCATACAAACACCAACCAACAGTGTGTCAAACTATGACTACACCATGTGGGAGAAAAAAAGCTGTGCAGGATACCATGCCTGAGAACAGGGCATGAACACAATTCACCAGCAAAACGGAAACCGGATCCAGAGACATTTCAGTTGCCAGTGGAAAGGACAGACAGACAACAGAGCAGCCTCCATGCTGGCAGCAAATAGGAGACTTTGCTTTAAGTGACTTTTCAGAGACTTCACACTATTGGACATGCACATTCATTCCCAATTACACCACAGGGACACTCGCCTCATTACAGCTTTGTGTCAAAGTGGCAATTATTCAGCTGCCATCAGAAGGGACCCAAAGAAGCTGTGGTTTTGCCCAGCAGGACCAGATGATTTCCAGGTAGGGGAGGGCAGCACTGCAGATTCACCTTGCCAGAGGGCGCTTGAGGCCGCAGCTGCACAGTGCAATGCAGCAGAGGGTACAACCCAAAGCCCCTCATCCACTCATTTCCCCCCAGGCATGAAAGCAGAATGGAGGGAATAATCATCACCTCGTAGGTGCACTGACAACTCTGGAGACAGTTCCCATGGCGACACGCATGTCACTACAGTGACAACAGGAACAGTTCAGTGCGACAGGCTCCAATTTAGGTCCCCGGGATCTATCAGTCAAAACCTAGTGGAGGCCCAAACAGGCATCGAGAGCCCCACAGAGCCTGTGTGCCTGCCGGTACTCAGCAGAGGGTTCTCCCTGGGCACACCCAGGACAGCACGAGCCAGCTGTGCCAAGGCTGCAGCACCTACTTTTTCAGTGAGACACAGTAGATTGCAAGCTGTTCCACCGCTGCCTGCCCAACTCCCATCTCTCTGATCATCTCCTCCACTTCGGGGCGCTGGCTCTGAAGCAACAGCTCAATCCTGCAGAAAAAATAAAAAGTACCCTCAGCTCATGAGTCACAAACAGAGGTGGGAAAGAGGCTGGAGCCCTGCTTCCCCCTAAGGGGCTGGTGCAGCCTAAGCTCCTATTGCGGGCACTCGGGATGTCGTGGCGGGGAAGGGAGAGAGAACTGATCCACCACAAGCAGGGCTTTTTGCTAGGGAAGAGTAGCACTAGGCGGGCAGACTAGAGAAGGGGCAGCTGTACAGACACCCCTCTTGGGCCTTACAGCCCTGTGGCTGACTGTTCCTGGGCTGGGATTCTGCCCCGGTGTCCTTGGATGACAGGAATAGCGTGTCACCTTGCTCAGAGCACTAGAGATAAGGCCAGACTGTACACAGCACTATGCCTTGCTGCTGTTGAGGGAAAGCAGCCATCTGGAAACATATCAGGGGCAAGAGCATGGGACAGGCAAGGGCAAGCCTACTAAGGCAGCAGATTCCAACCTTACGGAGTAAGACGACTCAGCAGGTGGAGGTGGATGTTGTAGCAGGACCCCTCCCTCCATCTCTGAGAAGGGGAGAGGCATGCAGCCCAGCCTGCAAGGCCCAGGGAGAGCCCAGGATCTCACCGCTCCATGCTTCTCAGCTTGTTTCGCAGACGGCGGGCCTCCTCCTTTGAACTTCTGTTATCCTCCTGCTGCTGCTCCAGGAATTTCATCTGCTTCTGCAGAGAAGCAAGCACACACAGACCGTTAGGAAGGCTCCAGGGATTGTTAGAGAAACATCCTGGCTTATGCGCACTGCAGGCAGTAATGCTATCACCACCTCAGCAGCCCAGGATTATAGAGAGTTTAGCTCCCTCCCCGCTGCACCCTGAGCTCTGCTCCTTGCAAGCACAGCACGGTCTCAGTGCTAATCGCAAGACAACTCTGGCACTGAAACTGTGTCTTAGCCTCCTTTCTGCCGGGCACATTCGTGGGGTTGTGCAGTACCCTGTCCACAGAGACAATTTGTTTTTCAAAAGCAATGGAGTTCATGGCAAATGATTGCTACTGCTTTTTCCTCTTTGCACAGCTGATTCCTTTGCTCTAGCCTCCCAGTTCTCCTTGCCACTAGCTGCTTAAAACAGACACTCGCCCAGGCACTTCTCTTACCTGCCTGGAGAGGCTGCAAGAGACTTGCAGCCACCACCTTTCCAGGTTTTCCAGTAGTAGGCAGCAGTAACAGAGAATCTCAGCTAAGCTAAAAGAGCACAAATCTGCAGTATGGCTGGAGGGGATGGGGGAAAGCCGGCTTGAATTAGCACCATTCCAATGCATCTGTGTTGCCTAGGTTTGCCTGGGCCTGGTTTCAGCACAGTGCTGACTCCAGGGGGAGGCCTGGCCAAAGACATCACCTCATAAAGCTCCCTTCCACACAGAAGTTAAAGGATTTTAGCTGCGTTCTGCCACAGAAAACAAACAGCTGTGAAACTGCTGGGACTTTGCAGGTGAACTGCGTTGCAGGATCACGTGTTACTCTTGCTTAAGCAGAGCCCATATCTTTGGCTGTTCCTAACCAGAGCTCTCTACACTTCAGATCCCCAAAGCAGCATTTTGTGCCAGGTTGGAGCATAGTCCCCAGCCCCAGACAGCCTGAAACGGTGGCAAACTCTTAC